AAGTCCATTAAAGCAGACCAGGGAATTTCAAAGGGAAATCTATAATAATAGATTCCCTCATTGTTTAAGTTTAAATGTTTTTTGAGCTCATCCGCAAGGCGCCCTTCAAATTTTGTATGTTGGAAACTGTTTAATTTTTCAAAATTCCAATTCCCGAACTATCTGCTTGGTGTCACATGCAAAACGGTTCAATGTGACCACTGTTTCTCGACGGGCAGTTTAATGTGCGACACCATGTAAGCGTACAGTGTCGTAAAATTGAGATTTTTGCACAGGCTTGTCAAGTGGACATCCGCTTTGTGTCAGAAAGGGGGATCCATCCGGGAGAGAAGTAGCAGCTAGAACGACTATATTTGACCCATACTCCTTGAGTGTGAAGTTTAAATCCACTTTGTGGCTTTTTGAACACAAATAGCCTTTATTTGAAAGGGGGGGTGACAGGAAATGGGGTAAAGAGAAATCAAAGGACAAAGACCAGTGATGACCATGCGGAATACTGGGGCCTCTGTATATGGGTTGGGACCTTTACCATTAGCTACTGGTGTGTCCTGCTTAATACCCATATTGGCATAACTGGTAGCAAAATGGTGAATTGCGCATATGAGGAAACAGACCTCACCATCCTTAACAAGCAACATCAAATGCAGATTTTTTTTAACATTTATTTTTTTGAATCTAATCAATGCATACATGGTTTTACACCGACTGTCATCAGTCCATCCAAATGTCTCTTTCTTTCTCCTCTGCATTTAGCGTTTACTTACCTTGCAAGCAAGATGAATTGTTGCAATATTTGTAAATTCACAAACTCCCGAGAATACATCTTGCCAGAAGCCAACAGATGCGTTAGCCTCGATTTAGAAATGTTTGAGAAAATGACTAATGAAATGCAGTGACCATTGATAAAGCAAAGCACTTAGAAGTTTCTGCGTGGGAACCTATAAGCTTTATGGTGATGTGGTCATAAGGTACATGAGAGTGAAAGCCTGTGCTACATGGTTTTAGACTCCTTTAGACTTGGTCTCTCTCTTTCTTGTAAATTACTTTTTAAAAACTCTGTAAAATAAAACAATTTTCTCTGTCTGAAATACAAAGATAATATACATATTATATGTAAGTATACTCATATATTTGGCTTTAATGTGTGCAGAATAATTAAAACCACATATATTTGCATAAATTACAGTCATTAACTATAGTTTGACAAAATGTGAAACTATGCAAGGGAAATTGATGCATAAAGCAGGTCCTTTATATGAGTCAGTTGTCAGAGACCATCACTGCAGCTTTGCAAATATCACAGCCTGATATAATGATTGGTCATGTACAGTATGTTGTTTTCTCATGAAGTGTTGCCTCCCATGTAGAAGTTCTCACTCCCCCCACACGCACAGAAGGAAACCATGGCAATACCCGACACAGCCCACCCTGACCAATCGCAACAACTAGAATATGCACAAAAACCCACAACTTGTAAAAGAAAAGGAACCTTTAACTCACAAAAAAAAAAAAAAAAAAAAAACGTGCAAACTTGCACCTGGTCGTAACCATGACATTCCATGTCCTCCTTCAAGTCGGAGGTGGGAGGACCAGGCACCTGAAACACTTTCTTCCCCCGTCAGGGCTGACAAACGGGGTGACTCAGGCATTAACAAACTCCACAAAGCCTGTTCACATATTTTACAAGAAGATGGTTCAATCCCTCTGTTACTAAGGAGATGGTGCAGAAAATCCTGCAGGAATACAGTAGCTACAGTATCCATGGGCTCAAGGTGGAGAAACAAATGTTCTTTTTTTTTTCTCCAAAAGCTACATGAATGGCTTTCACCCCGCTCCCCCATCTAAAAAAAGATGGACAAGAGAAATGTCATGCTACCATCATTATTTCCAGTGTTTCACTGTTACAGGGTTGACTGACGGGCTCATAATGACACGCTTGCTCTGCAATCCCTGCTGTAAATGAAATGCTTTCACATGGATCTGACTCATGTTATGTCGATAAATATTTTTTTTTTCTCTAATGGGATTCGTAAGTTGTTAGTTATGTCACACGGTATGCAACTTGTATAAAACACAATGTAAAAATTCCAGTGTTTTATCATAACCAGGTAATCTAATGCATGAATTGTATAGACTTTACTGAATCATGAATACTTCATAAAATGATAAGTTTCTCTGATATCAATAATTGAGATGAACTTTTTTAGCATTTATCAGACATGCATCCTGCACAAACTTGCTAAAAAGCAAACAAATCTGTAAGGGAAAAAAAACAGGCACGCTATAAAAACAACACTTGATTAATTCATCTTTTTATGGAGTTCCAACATGCAGTCGTCGTGGATACGCATCTTAAATAAACAAATCTATGAGTGACCAGAAATAAGGTTTTAATTATACATACAGAAGTTTTTTGTTGTTTGCCTCATACATATTTAAAGCCATAGTTTCATGGATACATGCATCAGTCAGGATAACTTTACAAAACATGAAAGAATTACAACAAACGCAACACACCACCAAAGGTACTCAATACCCTCTCTGTAATGCGGAATGGGGTAGCTTTCATTCAGACAAAACATTCAATTTAGACACAATACGTTTCGTTTTCTGTATAAAAGCTGAGAACGAACAGGGCTACATCCACAGTGACAAAAATATATGGAAGATAACTATAGCTCTGGAATCGAAAGTTCAAACTCTTCAAATGATGGATGATTATAAAACACTTTTAAAAAAGAATCAAATGATTTTTATCCAAAATATTAGCTGGGAATATGCAATACGAATGTATTTTTTTTAATAGATTTTTTCTTCTCAACCGTGTCATTAACAAGCTTTAATTATATGTGCTATAATATTACTTTTACTTTGATTGCAGTAGAAAGAATTGTTTAGTTCAAAAAAAGTAATCAGATCACGGTTTAAATTTCTCTCTAAATACTGTGAACGACCGTATGTTTTTACACAAGGTCACCCTACTGTGAGAATATGATACTAAGTTGACTTTCAGTTTTACATCAGTCTATCTATCTATTTTTTTTTTTTTTTTAGCTTCCACCACCTATTCAAACTTTTAAAGGACAGAGCTGCGAGTTTAAAGCTAAGAAATGTAGATTTTGTGATGAACAAATATGTAAAAAAATAAGACGTTAATGTGCATTCTGGGAAGTTTTACGTCACGGGTCATTTAATAAATGGTACATTCTTAACTGTATTCTAAATAAACACTAAATGTGTTTAGGAAATAGACATTATTCCTACTATTTACTAAATGTTTCCTATATCCTAAACACTGATGTCTCCCTTTTTCCCTAAACACATCTGAGTAAATGCCAACTTTTCAATTATCATAAGTGATTACTGTACTGGGGCTTTAAAAAAAAACAACAAAAAAAAGTCCAATATCCCACCGGTAACCTTAGATTATTTTGCTGATATCCATTAACCCTTTATAGGGTACTGTTGAAAATCAACATTTCCAGCCAATAGTGTTATTGGAATCCAGGACCAGATTTTATTACCTTTGTTACATAATAAAAATATGGATATTTTGATGGTAAAATTTAATGTCAATGTAATAAAAGGAAACCCCAACTTGCCTGAATATATTAAGACAAATAACAAAAGTTATTATATAAGAAATTCATGAAAAACACTCTGAGAGTGAAAGGAACACATTTTATTTGGGTCCAACATAACCTTCGAAGCATTAATGCTGATACTAGCACTTACATGTTTTTAGTTTATATACCTAATTATAATTGCTAACTTTGCTTATTTACTTTACTTTTTAACTTTTCAATTAGCTTTTTGCCTTTTTCTTTCTTAAATTGTTAACTTTTGCTTTTCAACTTAATTTCCAGTAGGTAATATATCATTGAAGGGCTCATCTAATTGGACAATTGCCAAAATAAGATGTACAGTCATGTGGCAGGTTCTTTGCTGAATGGCTGGGTATAGATCTAGTGCTTCTAGACCTCACTGAGGGATGGGGGGGGGACTCCATAAGTAAGGAAGGGGTTAAAAATGGTTAACTCTGTTTTCTTTTTTTAGTATAATTTGGTGACCACAATTAGGATTATTCTTTCTTTCTTATGTAAGTATAAATCTATCACTCTAATAAAACATTTCCACCAACAGTCTATGTGATTCACATTGAAAGACTGCTTTTGTCTATGCATAGTTTTATATCTGCACACACAGAATGCAGAAAGATCAACTTCACTTAGAAAAACAAATCGGGGTTTTCTAAATAAAAGCTCACTCCTACTTAAACCTTAGACTTAGATTTATTTTGTCATTTTGTATACTTGAGGGTAAACAAAAAGAAATGTTGTTTAAAACAGCTCTAAACAAATTCATCTTTTTTAAGTGCAGCCTTGAAAACAGTAATAAATACATAAAAAATAGTAATATAAACATATGACTATATATTTACAGTTCTAACATTTTTTTTATAAATAAAATGAATACTTCACTTAAAACAGCCACTCTAATGAGGTTTTTGTAAAACCTTTTTAAACTGGGTCAAACCACAAGTGGACGTTTTTTTTTTTACGTCCACTTGTGGTTTGACGTTTGCAAACGTCTCAAAAAGTGTGCAGGACGTCATTTTAAACAACTCTTTATTTCTATTTTTTTCTACTTCTTATTTAAAAGATGCGACAAGTAGAAACCTTAGATTTTTTTCATTTGTTTGTTTGTTTTTTTCTAGGTTTATTCCTTTATCATGAGTTACCAGGCTTATTTACAAACAAGCCAGCGTGAAAAAGTAAAGTAGCGCACGGTCGTTTCCATGGAGAGGAGCGCCTCACTTTTGGGGGTGTTCCTTTATTTCCCAACGTTTATCAAAGTATTATCATGTTAGTTTTAATGTATAAGAATGAAATCTGACAGTCGAGTTCAAAACAAACTTCCCTTCAGCTGTAAAGCTGCGCGTTTTTGTTTTCTCAGCCTGTCGGAGGAAATAATGTCCAAATAAACACCGATCCACCTACCTGCATGACACCGTGATTTCAACTTTGGTGGCGGGGATAGAAAGGTTCAGCGGGTCGAAGTCCCCTATAGACGCCATGTTTAGGAAAGTGTTGTTCATGGTTTCAGTTTTCCCAGGCTTTTCTGCTTTCCTTCAGTCCTGCCCCCTTTTTTTTCACGAGCGACGGAGGAGGATAAAGGCGAACCGTGCGCGCGCCTCCTCGGCGAGAAGTGGAGCAAAGGTGCGCTCAAAGGAGAGGAGAGAGGAGCTTTGAGATGTGATGTCACTTCACTCTTTCTCTCCCCTCCTCTGTGTGCTTATCCCCCCGTTTCCAGCTTTCTTTTGTGCTTTCCTCCCCTTTTTTTTCCTGCCTCCCTCTCTCTAATCCATGCACTGCTCCTCAGCTACTCCTCTTGGCATCAGAGGTGCAATAATCAAGCAATTTTTTTTTATTATTATTTTTGCAAAATCCTTCCTGTACAGAGGAGGATTGGGGCCACTGAAGAAGAAAAAAAGTTAACTGATTTTTAAATATTATTTCAGTTTAATATGGGGAAAAAGTCAGAATTAATACTTTAATCTCAGAAATCTGCCTTTTTTCTCAGAGTTTTGACTTTTTTCCTCAGAATTCTGACTTTAATCTCAGATTTCTGACTTTATTCTCAGAAATCTGACTTTTTTTTTCAGAATTCTGACTTTAATCTCAGAATTCTGGCCTTTTTCTCAGAATTCTGACTTTTGTCACAGAATTCTGATTTTAATCTCATAATTCTGACTTTAATCTCAGAATTCTGATTTTAATCTCATAATTCTGACTTTAATCTCAGAATTCTGATTTTNCTGATTTTAATCTCATAATTCTGACTTTAATCTCAGAATTCTGATTTTAATCTCATAATTCTGACTTTAATCTCAGAATTCTGATTTTAATCTCAGAATTCTGACTTTAATCACAGAATTTTGGACCTTAATGTAGAGGGGTACTATGAATAAGGAGATGTGGGAGCACTCAGCTTCACTGACAAAGATGTGAGTTGTTTGAGAGGGCCAGTGACACATTGGTTTAAAAATGACAGAATTAGGGGACTCTTACGTGTCCAAGGGGTCCCCGGTGATGCCTTTTCATTAATGCAGGAGCAGAAGGTGATTAAAGCAAGAGAGCTAAACTCTAAAACAGACATGGCTACAGCTTGAAGCTAACATGTTTGTTAGCTTTCAGAAAAAAGTCACAATTCTGAGATTAAAGTGAGAATTCTGAGAAAAAAGTCAGAATTGTGAGGAAGAAGGGCAGAATTCTGAGATTAAAGTGAGAATTCTGACTTTTTTTTTCTCATATTATACGGAAATAAAATTTAAAAATCAGTTTATTTTGTTGTTTTTTTCAGTGGCCCTATTCCACTTCCATATTCCTGTTAGCTCCAGAGATGTAGCCAGAAAAATGTAAAAAGGGTGGCCAGGCAATAATCAATGTAGACTGAGGGGTGGCCGAAAGCGGATAGGCACCAGAACCTCAGGGTCAATGTACAATATTCTAACAGGAAAAGTAACGAGAAAAACATCCATATTTTCTAAATAAAGACAAAACTACCAAATAGACGCATATATTTAAACACCCATGCTGTCTAAATTAAAGGTGTAGTGGACAAAAGTCTTTCAGTTTTGAGTTCTGGGGCAAACATCTTATTTATTGTCATTACTTACCTACTTTTATTAATAATTGTACTGCATAAAATTAATATTTACATGTTCTAATATCTACATTAAATGGATTACTTATTATTAAAGAAGTTATTTATCTCTCATTTCAGTGAAGATTCCTAGATGACTTGCAGAGACATAATGTTTTCTTTACCCCATTTAAGAATAAATCTAGTTCTGAAAAGAGCATGAATTCTGTATTTCTCTTTAATGTTAGTATATTGATGTGCATAATTAATCACAGTGTTTTTGTTGTCAGCTAATTGTTTACATATAAAAAATAAAAATGTTAAATAAGTTAGAATATGCCACTTGAGAGTATTGCTCCTGCCACCATCTGTATTAGAGGTAGGGGTGGCCACAGGGGTGGCCAATGATTGGGTAAGGGTGGCCATGACCACCCCTGGACTTCATCTGGCTCCACCCCTGGTTACGCTCTTTTTTTTACCCTCCTTTCCTTCATTCCTCTTTCATACAATTTTATATTTTTGTTCCTAAGCTCTGATTCATTTTTCAGAACAGCCTTTTTTCTATAAAGGTGTAAACATGTATTGCAATCCCCATAAAACATTTTCTCTTCAAGAAAATAAGGAATGCAACATTTTGCTCTTTAGTAAGAAATGACAGATGAGAACTTTTTTTCTTTTGGCTCCCAAGGCTCTTAAGATTTCTTCCTACTTCAGAAACCTTGTTCTCCACCTCAGTAATTTTACACAAAATGAACCGTTATGTGTCAAAATTGCAATGTTCTGTAGAAGCTCCATATTTCGAGCCAGCTCTCAGATCTGCTTTATTTGTGACTAATGCATCTCTATATCTGTTAGGGCTGGTGGATGTTGTTACAAAGGCAGAGTAGAAGAGGCAGATATCGTTTTTGGCAGTTTTAATGGTGAAGTACATGGTCCAAAACATAAATCCAGAAAAACCAGGCTGGGAACTCAGGAACCAAAAAGAAGCTTGGGAGAAACATACATGAAGAAATGAATAGGATCCAGCACTGAGGGACTGCAGAGCAGGAGTATATGGAGGCAGAACAAGGGATGGAGTGATCAGTTAATTGGGAGCAGGTGTGGACAGAAGCAGCTAGAAGGGAGCTAAGGGGAAATAAAAGGGGCACTAGGGGGCAACAAAGAGTAACCAGGGAAAACAGGGGCTACCTGTAACTAGAAAATAATTTAAGGCTAAAGGGGAAATTCTGACCCTACCATCCAAATGTCGCTTCAGAAGTTGAGACTTATAAGACCATGCAACCTTTTTTAAAAACCTCTATTGTTTAATGGTGTTGAGCCTGTGCCAAACGTAGCCTCAGTTTCCTGTTAGTTGACAGGAATGTGTTTTGCTGTAGCTCATCTGCCTGACAGTCTGACATGTTGTTTATTCAGATTTGCCCTTCTACATTCCTCGGTTGTAGAAGAGCAACTGATGCCTTTCTATCACTTGAACCGGTCTGGCCATCCTACCCTGAACTCTGGCATCAACAAGGTATTTGTTACCACAGAACTGCCAAGCACTGGATATTTTCTCTTTTTCGAACCATTTCCAGTAAACACTAGAGATGGTTATGATGGAATATCCCAGTAAATCAGCAGTTTCTGAAACACTCCGACCAGCCTGTGTGGCACCAACAACCAAGTCAAGTTCAAAGTCACTTAAAACCCCTTTTCTCCCCATTTTTATCCTTGGCATTAACTGCAGCAGATCGTCTTCAACATGCGTGCATAACTATATGCACTGAGTTGCTGCCATGTGATTCGCTGATTAGAAATTTGCATAAGCAACCAGTTGCACAGGTGTACCTAATAAAGAGACGGGCGAGTCTACACCTTAATAATGTTCAATACTTTATTTATAGGCAAGGTCTTTTTATGTGCTCAGTCACTGACTGTACTGAAAATACAGGAATTACGATGCAGTAAAATTGCTCTCTAATCGTCTAAGAATGTTTACTTTCAGGAATGTACAGAGGAAGCTTAGTGAGCCACTCCTCTGCAGAGACAGGTTACTTCAGAAGTCAACCACCTGCAACAGGGTCCAAAAAACTTAATTCACTCTCACACTCTAAAGAAAACATCACAAAGGGTAGCTTTGATGCAGTTTATTTAACAGCATATTTTGGCAAGTACTGTACTTACTGAATTCTCTTTCCAATAATGATGTTTTTTTTGCCATTATAGTTTCTAATAAATCTCCCAGTCTTGCCTCTCTTTTCAAAATTTAGTATAGGGACCAGGTTAAAGGTACAGAAAGAGAGTTAATGTGTTTGCAGAGTATAAAAGGAAACTATAACAAACGTTGACGGTAAGAAGAAATGGCACAATAAAAGGACGCTGTATTTTTTAAGAGGGACCAAAGGTGGTTATAACTGTGTCACTTTGAGTGCGTGTATGATAATGTTCCTGCTATCGGCATCAATTAAGATTTTTGATGTTGGTTTGCACACACGAAAAACTGTTTAAAGAAAAAAAAAAGAAGAAATACCTCTCAAAGAGTAATGTTTGCAGTATTTGGATAACAACTGAATTATCACAACAGCCATTATCCATTTTAATATGTAATTTTCGACCCAACAAAAGCTGAGGTTTAGATTCTTAGAGTGATTGAGAATGTATAGGGAGCTGTATGCTGCAATAATCTGTGACTATTTGGATTATGTTTAGATGATAAAGTCATTGGATTTTAATATGACACATCCCTGCATTACTCAGTGTTTACCGGCCAACCACGTTTCTAAATATAGCCGTCTTACACGCTCTCTGACACGCCCTGGGTTTGATGAGTAGCCTGGTGGTGCTGAAAACCATTACAGCACCTTTAGGCAAACATCGTGCCCCCGCCCTCTGTTCATGACGGGGTGTGTGGAGTGGATGAATTCACCCGTAGTTACACACACACACACACGAGGCCAGAAAATTAACACAGACTCATGAGCTTACGGTAGACGAGTCACTGCTATGAGTCTCACTCCCAAACAGAGAGGAAAAAGGCTCTGTTATGCATGAGAGCAATACACCTGTGTTTTGGAGTTCACATGGTGTTAAAAATAGGGATGTAGACTTAACACTGAAATATAAAGCAACTAGTTTCAAATAATAATAATAAAAACTGAGAACACTTAAAAATCTTTAACAGATTTTAGGCAATTTTGCCAAGAACCTATAAACTTTATAAATAAACTGACAAAAGGCAGAATTGATTCGATCTGTCCAAGCAGGTCATCCAAGATTTAATTTTATGTTACAAAGGGCTATGCATAAAAAGTCATGCAATGGTTCCCCATCTTTAAGGCCGAATCATGCAACTCTAAAGAAACAAATAAAAATAAGCTAGAAAATTTGCTGCTTTTGCTCCAATTTAATTATATTTGCCATATAGTCAACCACACCAAAATTCTGATTATGCCCAAACAAAGCAAAATTGGAAATTTGGCTTTACAGATTTCTAGCATTTAAGATTAGATGTCCTAATTATTCCATTCTGCCATCACTTAATAATGAGACCGAGATCCATTAAATGCTGTACCTTTAGCTCTCAGTCTTTTTAAGCAGACAGCCGGTAAATCTTGATAAGCCTGCATGCAAAATGGTCACA